CTTCCTCGAGCTGTAAGCAGCACATGATTTCAGAGGAAGTCCACACAGGTTTGCATTGCCCTCATAAGCATCTTTCCCCATTGATTGAAACACTTTGTCAGATGGAATGGAACCACTCAAGCTATTTTCCGACAAATCCAAGACTGTAAGATGTGGAAGCTTTCCCAATGTCTCAGGAATCCCACCTGTAATCATATTTCCAGCTAAATCCAGCTTCTGAAGAGAGCGGCAAGCGGAAACAGCTGGTGTTAAGACCCCTGAGATATTGTTATTACTCAGCTCAACCACAGTGATGGATTTGCATGATTCAAATTGAGGGAGAGGTCCGGAGATACTGCAGGAGGAAGCAGAGAAGTTACGAAGACGCGGCAAAGACCAAATCTCATGTGGAAGTTTGCCTCCTAGCTCAGGGTTACTGGAGATATTGAAGTAGTCAAGTTTTGTAGCTTTGGATATATCTTGAGGAATGCCTCCAGTGAGTTTGTTTCTAGAGAGGTCAATGTATGAGATATCAGGAAGCTGTGTAAAGCTAAAAGGGATCACACCTGAGAAGGAATTATCTTCAAGCCGAATACGAACAAGCGTTGAACAATTGGAGAGAGATGGAGATAGAGTTCCAGTGAAGTTATTAGAGAAAAGCATGAGCTTGAAAAGAACACCTCTTGAGCAAATACCCTGTGGGATTTCACCGATGAAACTGTTGGTCGAAACATCGACCCATCGTAGCTTCGAGTTAGTCCCCAAGCTTTTCGGAAGTGAACCAGAGAAGTAATTGTTCCAAATGAAGAGAGTATCCAAAGAAGGAAGCTGAGCAATACCTTCAGGGAGAATCCCACTCATTTCATTGTACATAAGACTCAAAAGCCTAAGATTCTTCAAACCTGCAAAACTCTCCGGTATGTTTCCTGATAAATTGTTGTCTGAGAGATCTAAGTTCACAAGAGAAGTGATTTGTCCAAACTCCCATGGAATTTCACCAGAGAGATGGTTCTTAAACAGGAACAAAGATTCAAGCTTTGTCAAATTTGAGAAATGGTTTGGTAAGAAACCAGAGAGATTAGCTCCTGCAATGTCGAGGTACTTGAGCTCAGTCATGTTACCGATTTGCCAAGGGATCACTCCTTGGTACGAGTTATAACCAATCTCCATGTGAGACACAGTTTTGAGATTCCCAATCTCTTGTGGTATGTGTCCACCAAGTAGATTCCCACCAAGATGAAGAAACTCTAGATTCTTGAAAGAACCGTATTGACTAGGAATCGAACCAGTAAAGTAACTACCAGCGAGATTTAGTACCTTGAGATTCTCTAACTCAGAGAGATCGATTGGTAATGAACCTGTGAAGCTATTGCTTAAGGCATCGAGGAGGATTAGGTTCTTGAGAGATGAGATACCGTTTGGGAAACGACCGGAGAAGTTGTTTCTGCTTATGTCAAGGATTCTGAGAGTTGTGATGTTGAAGATCTCTGTCGGAAACTCGCCGGAGAATGAGTTGTCGCTGATGTTTAGCTCAAGGAGGTCGGTGAAGACGGAGAATTGGTTGGTAGGGAAGTTTCCGGCGAGGTGGTTGGAAGAGAGGTCGAGGGAGATAACGGAAGTGGAGTTTTGGTTGCATCGGACACCGGACCAAGAACAACATGCGACGGTT